GTGTTGCCTTTTTCGTGACATGACAAATGCCATCAAAATAAATCGAGACAAAATTAGTCACAAAAGGTTTAATTTTATTCACAGACTTCACAGATCCATGGTCAACAGTTACAGTAGTTCAGTAGCAGGTGAGTTTTAGGAGGTTTAAGGTTCAGCTGAGTGTCCCATAACAGTTACGGGAGATATGTCGAGTCAGGGCAGCGCCATCAGGAAGCAGGTATCAAGTACAATTACAGCCAGCAACAATGCCCTGTGGAAATGGACAGTCTCATATCTAAAGTGCTACATTTAACAATCGTCTGACCTATTGCAGGTGCACAAAAGTTCTTTTTGACAGGTGTAAATCTCAACAGATTCACTCCAGAAATGAGGCCTTTTGAGTAATTCTAACCGGACTTCACTTTGGGTAAAAGCATCAAGTTATAATTTAATAAAGAAGAGAAGGGAACGTTTGGGAATTTCCAGCGGGCCAGATTGTTTTACATTTTACCACAAGGGTGACACAGAGATACAGTAAGAGACAGTAAAAGCTGTGGCTGTAAAAACCTCACACGATACAAGTTCAAACAACAGGTCTATAATCTTTAGCTCTACATGGACAGCAGTTAGCTCACTCCGCCGACACAGTGCGGCTATACAGGGGATACAGCACACGCTAATCAACCAAGGACCCCTTCCAGTGAGAGATACTTGTGGCTAAACAGGACTATAAATTACTAAATAGAACAATATCTTAAAAACCAAAACACATCCACAGTGATTGAGTCTGCTACATTACACAAAAAAAAGAAAAAAAAAAAAGCTGCAACAGGTTAGTTTGACCTCAAATCAGCTGCTCTACACCAAGGTTAGTTTTAGTCTCCATCGCGGTGTCGAAGGCACATGACCTTTGCCGAGCACCACAGAGCTGAGGGCACTTTAAAAAATCCCGTCTCCGCCGAGGATCCCCGCACCTGCCGGTTAAAAACTCTACCTGCAGCGGGACGTGATTTCACACAGCGTGCCTCTAATGTCAGCTGGAGGAGGACACTTGATGGAGGTTAAACTAAGCTTCAGGTGAGAGCGCAGCTGTTTATCAGTTCTCCTCTGCGTTCAACCCACACACACATTTTTATTTTTTATTTTTACTGCTCCTCGTCTCCACAGTGCCAGGTCAGCTTCTGCTCGTAGAAGTCGATGACCACCTGGGGACATCTGGCGCTCGCTTCGCGGGCCGGCAGCAGGGCCACGTCATCCGAGTTCTTCCTGTGGGGGGAAAAACGAGCAGGAGGAGGAAAACATTCAAATGGGCTCCCCCGCTTTTAATGCATGCGAAAATGTTTCAGCAGCAAACACACATTTCAGACAGTTTGGAAAAGGTTATTATGGAGGAGGAAAGGCTAAAGAGACTGAATCGCATTTGAATAATGCAGTCGCTCTGGAATTAATGCTGCTGCAACATATCAAACATACAGTAAAGTCAAAACATTTACAGACGGCATGACAGTAGCTAAAACTAACAATTATTTCTAGATTAATTAACTAGTTGTTTACTCTATAAAATGTGAGAAAATGATTTTTAAAAAAAGTGTTTCCTACAGCCCAAGAACTGTATTCAGTGTAGTGTTACAGTGGAAGAAAGAAGAAAGAAACCAGAAAATATTCACATTTAAGGAGGCAGGATTAAAAGATTTTTGACTTTTTCACCTAAAAAAAAAAAGATTAAATTATTAAAACAGTTGGTGATTAATTTAATATTTGACAGCTAATCGATTAATCATTGCAGCTCTATTTTATAGATCAAGCTCCCATGCGCTAGATTTCCCACAATATAACTAATTGAATCTTTTTATTAGTAGGAATTTAATAAAACAGCCCTGCATTAGGGCAGTTGTTCCCAAATTGGGGGGTCACTGAATCCAATTTAAAAACGATTAGAAGTAGAATCCCCTGTAGCGACTGCGACCTGAAAGGACAAAGCCATTTGGAGAACGACTGGACAGAACAGGAAGTGCATATTTTAGCCACAATTGCTACAAAAGCTTAAAAAAATAATGTTGATCTGTTACTTCCACAGACTGTACATTTGCTCAGCATTATGGTTCATACACCGAGATAACATCGACAGACGTATTCTTGTCGGTATGTGTTTGGAATATTAGTGAAATATGTGCCGGCGACAGACTCTTTATCAAATAGCAATCAGAAAAATGCTAAATAGTTTATATTTAAATGCCACAGACCGCCATGCAAGCACACGCAGTAAAAAAAAAAACAACAACAACCTGGTCCAATACACAGTGTGATGTGGCAGCTTCAACCTGGTCACCTTCTGTGCATCTCAATGTGTAACAAGGTTGGATCTTTATCCTTATTTATGTGTTTAAATGTACTGATTTGTTTGTGTTTTCATTGCTTCGTTAACATGAAAATGATGTACCTTGATAAAGTGGCTACATTTTACATAATGTGGTCAGTTTGTTACAAATTCTTACAGTAATTGTCAACTGAAATTAAATATTTAAGTATTTTTGCAGCTGTTTTTCAGCCACTTCTAGTTTGTCAGCTTTAACCACCTCCATGGATGGCAGAGTGACTGTCTGCTGGTATTTTGGGAGTTAGGGCTGAATGATTTGGGAACCTCTCTCTTAATGTACCAGTAAGTAACAGGCTAATGACTCGAAGGGCTTATAAACACGGCACAGCGTCGCCTCTCTGAATATCAATGCACTGGGTAGCAGGAAGTAACCAGATTCTGTATTTTTAACCAACATTTTTTGGTTTAGATCCTCTATACAGTTTCAGCTACTGCATTCTCATTTCTGTTAACAAAGAAACGTAATTTCACTGTGAAATAATCATCTTTTCTGCCTGTGACACAGTCAGAAAGGCTTTAAACACTTTAAAAGAGCCACTAAGTCTGCATAAGGAGGATGAAGGCATCAAGTAGGAAAAGGGTGTTCACCCAGGAGAGCAGGGTTTGTGTCCGCTGTGGCACTGCTATTCTTAGACTTAGGTTTGGTTTTCACTTGTTGCTTTCTTTTGGCATTTTGGTTAGCTGGGAGAACCAAAACGAGGTTAGGTTAGGTTTGGGAAAATGGAAAAAAAACAACACGCTTTCGCACCATTTAAAGCTTCTCCTCCACTTTCTGTGTTACCAGGGTGATGAGTCCTGCCAATAATAGTAATATATGACAACAAAAAAGCCAGAGAAATGTTGATTTGAAATAAATTTGCATAGGTTTTCCTTAAAAACATGAATGAGAATGCGTCTTAGCTGTTTCGGAACGTAGTTTTTGGGAAACACGGTTGCTCACAGAGTCGGTTTCAAGTTTTCAAGCAGTGTTATGGTGAAGGTGCACATCTTTCAAAACCCCCTACACCTCCTGCTTGTTTTGAAAAATAAACTTTCAATCGAGCATTCACAGAGTCCAGGCCTGGCGATTTCTCAACCCTGACCATGCCCCTTCAGAGCCACTGGGGACTTGAAGTGTTTTCACAGACTGTGTTGTAATCTCCACGAATAATAAAATGACCTTTGTGTGAAATATCGGCAAAACTCCCCCTTAGAGCTGCAACAGTTCATTTTGGAATGTTGTTTTGGTGAATACATCCTCATTTTTACACACAGTCCAGAGCAGTTCAGTCTGGAATAACATCACTGACTCTACATTTCAGTAAAAACCGAACGTCACGAGCTCCAAAAAGCTTCCTGTTGGCTGTGATACTGACCTACTTCAAATTGTGCACATCATAAAAGCTCTGATCATCGAGCGTCCAGCTTTATTGTTGTTTATTGTAAAGCACCTCTGCTGCGGTTAGAGCCGCTCTCTGCAATCTGTTGCTAATCTGAGGCGGTGTCAGCGTCACTGTCGTCCAACTTTGTCTCCCTCGTAAACGATACATTCACTTTGCATGTTTGGAAATGTTTTTACTGCATACCAACGGTAACAGTCGTAAATCTGACGCTAGACTACAAGCTCTGTTATCTGTGGTTTGAACATGTGGATTGCAGCTTTGAATATGTGACTTATTTATTTTTTTCAAACACTTAGCCGAGGATGGAGCGAAGAGGAAGCAGCCGAGTTACCATTTGACGAGGAACATGAGCTCTCCCTTTCGGTCCGTGGAGCCGATGATGCACTCAGGCTCGAGGTAAGTGCTGAGGTTAGCGGGGGCGTCTGACTGCTCATCATCCGGCTGGAGGACGATGTCTTCGTTGCTGTGCACGGCGTGAGCCTGCTGCACACAGGACTGCAGCGAGAACAACAAGGACGAAGGTGCAGCAGTTAGAGGAAGCGAGTGAGAGAGCAAGGAACGGTTAACAGACAGTTGGGATAATAACTTTATGTGCGACGCCCTCTTAAAAGCAAGGGTTTACTAAGTGCCTTGACAGGAAAAGCAAAAGCAAAACAACAACTAGGAGCCAGACAATAAAGCCATATAAAGCAGATAAACTTGAAACAGGAAGACAAAAGATGCAAAAGTATAAAAAAAAAATACCAAAAGCAATAAAACCTTTATAAGCAATTAAGAGCGTCACAAGCCACCACAATGTAAAAGCACGTCTATAAACATGGGGTTTCTTTCCAGGAAAAATCAATCGATGCCTCCCATCTGACCCTTCACAATCAGCTCCGTTATTGTGCACAGCAGCTTTAGTATATTTACTGTAGCCATGCAAAGTTTTACCTTCACACCAGCAGTTGTGCATGAATTACCATTGTTTTAATTTCTGGAGTGAACAGAATCTCAAATCTTATGTTTTGTGAGTGTCAAACTATGCTGTGTTAGAAAATTATTGTGACACAGACAGAATCATGAGCCTGGTATCAAAAACCTTTCATTTTGTGTAACTTGTTTTGACCAACCACTTATCACACACGGTAATATGACCTTGAAAGTTTACCCAAAATGCTGTTTTTCAAAGTTTTCTCCAGTGAATTATCAGAAAAACAGAAAACGCATTAAGGGTATGTGTCACAGAAATTAAACTGGTGCAGTTTAGCTGTTGGAAATATGGTTAAATCATAATATCGACCAATCAAAGCTGGTTTGAGGATAAAAACTAACTGAACAAAAATGAGATTTTGGCTTGAGATTGTTTACAAATGGAGAGGATGTGAAATTGATTGAGTTGTCTTGTTCAGCCCTGAAAATCTCACATGTCTATTTCCTGTATTTATGAGAAATGTGAGCTCCAAAATGATGCAATAAAAAGCGACTCACCCCTTTAAAAGCCTGTAACTCTGAATATATTCATAGTTTGAAGGTGAAATGTTGCATGGCTTCATGACATATACTAAAGTTATTGTTCATAAAAATCCAGCTTTGTCAGATTTGGTTGATCATTACAGAACCTCATCTCCTCAGGCAAATTGTTCAAAAAGTCAAAGGGCCTTTCTGGAGTAGATGCACATTTAAGATTTCAACTTAAGAACAAAGAGAAAGGGCTCCAACTAAAAAGAGCCTCATCTGAGGATCAAGGCTGCAAGGCAATAAGGTGTCAGACCCAGATATGCTTTAAGAAATGATCAGCAAAATCTTCAAATCAATTCTAAAATGAACAAGAAGCCAGTGGAGAGGAGCCAAGACTGGATTAGTGATAACAGGTCAACCAGAAGAACCAGTCAGAACTCGAGCTGCTGCATTCTGAACAGGCTGGATGTGGCTTTTCTGTTTGACTGTACATGGCCATTGTGAAATAAAGGAAATTTAACTGCTTTCACTTTCAGGATCATTGCAAAACTAACCGCCTTCACACGCCACTGAGTTTCAGATTGAGTTTTAGAAATCCCTAAAAAAAAAAAAAAAAGTAGGAACAAAGCTGCCAAACTGTTCAGACGGCAGAGTTCCACTTCTGCCTGAATTCTCTCCCTAAAACTTAAAAAAAAAGACAGAAAGAAGGAGGCATTCTAATAATACGCTTTATTTCCTCGTTACAGATTTAGGTGCAGACGTTCTGTGAATAACGTGGAAAGAACACACTCACAATTTCCGTCTCCTGCTCGGTCATTTCTTCTTTGGGAATGAACTCTTCCTCCTCGTCGGAGAGATGGGCGTTTCTCAGGAACTCCTCGATGAGCTCAGGACAGTCCAGGTTGTCCTCAGGCTCCCATGTGTTTTCTGCACTGTGAAGGGAAACACAAGAGTACACAAGTTCACCATCAGGGATGAACAACATGTGACAATAAAATGCAACATCCCACTCACTCCCTCACTCGCTCGCTTACTCTGTGAAGCCTTTCCACTTTAGGTAGTACTCCACTCTCCCATTAGAGATCCTGCGGCGGATTATTTTCTCCACCACAAACTCCTGGACAACTGTAGTCTCCTCAGTCTTCCTCTGTTTGGCCGTCTGCTTCTTTCTCATTCTGTCATCATATATTAAAAAAAAAGAAAGAAGAAGAAGAAGCAAATGAATGAAAGTCAAGAAAATGGATGATAAAATTCAGTTTCTTTGGTTAAAACGCCACACTGAGGTCATAAAAGAGCACTTTCATGTCCCTGCTGCTGCTTTTTTTTTTTTTCTTTTTCTGTGCAGAACAACATGGCAGTGGTGAGTACTGTGCCCTTCACACAATGATCCTTATTATAGCGCTCCACCTGCTGTTTCTTTCGGGAGCTTCTTCAGTCCAAAACGCAACATGTTAGTATGAACACGAGCGCTGCCCACTTCTACAGTTTTAGCGCATTGTGCACACAGCAGCCTGGAAAGAAAAGAAAAAAAAAAAAAAACACGAGTGGAAACGTGCCCTGAGTGATGCACAACACGCTGGGAAGGAACAATATGCACGTACGCTCTCGGTGTTTACTTAATCTCGACGGACAGCCTGCTGCGGTGCTGTTCGGCTCGGCTCGGCTCGGCTCTTGTGCTTGTCGCTGCCCCAAAACTAACACGCACACCGCGCCGTCGACGCGCCTTTGTGCGCAAATGTGGTCGCTCGGCGCGTTTAAATGCGCCCAAACAACTTTTCATGAATGAGTTAAAATTAAAGATGGCCGTTGATGCTCGGAGGAAGTGGTTGCCAAGGGAAAAGGTCATGCCAGGAAAACCGGGAGGAGACGACGGGGACGCGCACGCCGGTCGACCAATCAGAGAGCAATCCGCTCGTCCGTCCCCGTCCAGCGGTCCGGAACAGCCCTGCCCCCCATGGGTGTCATCCGGGTATGGCAGGAGAGGCACCCGGTGCTGGGTGGATCTCACCGGGATCACACGCTGGCTCCAGATGTCACATCTTCGTGTGTATGTTCTGATCGAGCCGGATCTGTGTTTGAGATCTACACACAAGATGAAAATAAATAAACCTCGTCAGACTGAAAGCAGATTGGCCTACATCCAAAAATGGAGAATAAAAACACATAATAAGACCACCTTCCTATTTAAAAAAAACCAACAACAACAACAAAAAACTTATAATAAATGCTTTATCAGCTATATTGTGTTGTATAATATTATATCATGTTGTCTTATAATATAAAATGATATAATATAATATATAATTACATTAGATTAGATTATGTTGTCTTGTCTTATATGTTATGTCACGTTTTGCTATTCTATTCTATTCTATTCTATTCTATTCTATTCTATTCTATTCTAATCCATTGTCTTATGTTCTATTATATTATATTATCGTAGTGTATTGTATTTTATCTTATATTGTGTTCTGTTGTGGTATTCTATTCTATTCTATTCTATTCTATTCTATTCTATTCTGTTTTGTTGTGTTATGTCATATTCTATTCTGTTCTATTATAACATATTGTGTTGTGTTGATTTGATTGATGCTTGTACTTTATATATTTCCAGTTTATTTCATAGAAAAATGTAATTGTACTAATTCTTGGATGTTACATATAAAATTTAGGGTCATCCTAATATTTTAAAATTATTTTTTTATTTATTACAAAGTAGGCTAGAATCAATTCCACATTAACAACATTAAAATGTAGTTGTCGCATTCCATAAAAAATCAGATTTGATCAAAATAGTCAAATGTGGAATTGCAGCATTTTTTTTGCACCATATTGCTGAGAGTATTTTTTAATTATAATATTTTTCTCTGAATGCATTTTTTTTTTTGCTAATGCTCAATTTTTATTGATGTATTTTTTGGGGGGGATTATTGTGGCTGTTACTTCAGTTAAGATCCCAACACTTCTGCAGACAGTTCTTCAGGAGGAGATCTGTTCTCCTCAAACTCTCAAACCACACTGCTGAGATCACAGAAGAAACAGCCCACAGAGGGTTGATTGGCAGCTCCATTTCAGCCAATGAAGAACCCCAGAGCTGCTGATTGGCCAAATAAGCACCAGTAACAGGCCTTTGCACTTCACTGAATTTACCTTTTTTTCCAGCAATTATTCCACACTGCTCTATGAACCACCACTGGGGGACGCTGCCTGCCTGGATTGAACTGCCGCAGTCACCGGGGCCATAGTGTCAATGCCCCTGTACCTCAGACCACTAATGGGAATGGATTTATGCAAGAAAGCTCATAGCAAAAGGCAGCATAACAAAAGATTTCACACTGGAACTGCTTGTGATAGTTGCTGATACAGTTTCGTGCTTACGGCAGGATTACGTAACACTTCTGCTCATGAAACATACTTATGCAACAACAGCATGAGAATGTAACCCATGTACAGGGAGGCAACGCTGAGCACCAATACCTCTGTTTTATTTTCAATGAGAAAACACCGGGCAGGCCCTTGGGATGTGATTAAAAGTGGTTTTCAAGTTTCAATGAAAAGCCTGCATGGAAGATGAATGTGGTGCGTATTGTCTTCAGAGACATAGCTCATTGATTGAAATCTCAGGAGAGCAAGAAATAGGCCTTATGCAAGTTGCAAATCAATGTTTGGCCATTTAGACCTGCCACCTCTGTCGCATATAACCCCCCGTGTGCAGTGGAAACTTCACATGGGACGCTGGTATGATGCTCAGGGATTGCAGGTTCTATATTGATAAAGTCAAGGTGGTAAGCTGCTGTTTTCTTCTGTGATTAATTATTAACCGAAGATGCTCTTAACAACTCTAAACGATTTTCTGCTTTTGCTCCCTTGGACACCTCTTTTCCACACCAGCTTATACACCTCTGGTGAAACGTTCTCTCGCTGTCCCCTGAAGTCTTTGTTAATGTTGTGGAACGTAGTCTAACATTTCTACACATTTCAGTTAGTATCTGGGGTATAATTATGGTAATAAGTAGTTGAAGTAATTTGTAACACACGTCTTTATCAGTTGATGCTTTATAGATCAGTTATCAGCAAGTCAGGTGACAACTTTTGGGTTGCCAGGTTGTGAAACATCCTTTTGGCTGGTGCTTGTCAGGTTTTTGGTTTTCATAATACATTATTTACAACTTATACACTCATATACAGAATTTCTAATTTGTAAGTAAGGTCTTGTTTAATGAATGCTTTATAGATTTGTTCTAAGCAAGTCTGGGTTGCCAGGTTGTGAAACACCCTTTTTCTGGTGCTCATCAAGTCTGCAAATTGTATGACACATTAGTAGCAACTTATACACCCTTTATAAAAGGCTCCTTAGGTAAAAGTGGTGCCATATTTCTTGTAATAGAACCATAACAACCTCACAATGCATCTTTTCTCTTCATGTACCTGGAGAAAACCCAGAAAGCAAGGCAAGACATGTGTTGGTTATCAGCCTTATGACCTGCTGTTGCCCTCTGACCCCTTCATGTCTGCTCTTTTGGGGTTTTAGCACTGGTTGCCATAGTAACCGTGCAGCTAATAGGGTTGAGCTGTCGCTGCAGGCGCGGGAATGGCAGTAATGCATGCAGTGAGGTCCTGTCTGGATTTACTGCTCTGCTAGCCTACAGTACGGATCACATTGGATTCTCTGCACCCAGTGCAGCAAAGTAGGTTATTTCAGCTTCAGATCAGAAAGGCAGGATAGTAATTTTGACATGAACAACTTCTTCTAAGGTTTTTCTTTCTGCATCTTCATCTTCAAACCCGGAGAAAGACAGAATGACTGAAATTGAACCTGAGACCTTGCAGTTTTCGGTTATGGGTCTTAACCACTTGGTGGCCACAACTGACAATTCCTATTTACACCAACATTTCAGCAAGAAAAATTAACATAATCATCTGTTTTCAGCTACTACAGAACACTTCAAACAATATTAATGGCACCTGGGTTTCAGGAGTTATACTTAGAGGGATCAGGGAACTATCTGAGAAGCTTTATGAACGTATTTCACGTCCTTAATGTATTTGTAACCTAAATAACTTAACAACAGGCAATAATTAAGTTATTTGAGGCCTATTTTTGTGCCTCAAACCAAACCGACTGAACCCAGGGCACTAAAAATGAAATACAGATGTTGATGAAATAACATGCTCCAGTGTACGGGGTGAAAAGATATATTGCGTTATGCCGTCATCTCTTAAATCTACCGAGTTCCCTCCCAGACAAGCACATTCCTCGCGCCCACTGTGAATGTAGCCCCTAATACAGATGGGCCTTGAGAGCCACCCTGTCAGAGCAGAAATGAGTCCAGATGGCTGGATCCTGCTGTGAGGGGCTGTGGATGGAGTGAGTAGTGGTCTGTGCGGCTCGGGCTAAGCCTGACTGGACGCTTTTCACACGGAGGGCCCCTGGCGTTCCCTCAGTTCCACTCTGAGGCTCTTAAGTTACAACCAGGGTAAAGGAATTCACGTCGGCGCTGTTATTCTTATCAGTCTGGTTGTATACGGGGCAGTGTCCAGTGGAACGTTATTGAAGGCCGAGCTGCTCAGAAAGAGATTTACACAAGTTCGTTACAGGCCGATTGATTGACTGACTGTATATTTACAAAAGTAACTTCCTGGAGGTCATTCCTGCAGTAGCGTGAGAGCTGAGATGCTTTACTGTCACCGGCTCGGGCCACCGCTGCAGGACGCCCTCAGCACCTTCATCAGCTCCACAGACTGTCTTCAGCTCGTATTCTGAGTCACGTACTAAATCAATCAGGGTCCCTTTGCGACAGACTCCGGTGCACTTTATGTCCTCTTTGTGTATCCAGCAGTGGCAGAAAGAAAAAGGGGACTTTTCATGAGGAACAGATGACGTGGGACAGCAGAGCACCTGGGTTTGCTTGCGGAAATCTGTCTCCCGTTTCAGAGCAGTTATAGTGCCCCCAGATACCTTCGTCTGTGTTATTCTATACCTGGCATGGGAGGGCTGGAGGGGCACAGTTGTTATTATTCTTAGTGTCTATAGAGTTAGTGAGAATGGATATAATGCATCTTCAGTGTGTGCTTCACTTTCAATGAGGCAGTAAAATATCAATTTACAGTAAATGTGTGGATTTAGTTCACTAAAGGAAGCTATTGTCTTGACTCTGGATTAGGAATTATTTAATTATTTCATCAAACTGCCACTAAGCCAACACAGTAAAAAAACAAAGCCAAGAAATGACTTAAGGTTAAAATGATAATCTTACAGGTTGATGAATGGCTGATGATGACAAACTACTATTTGTTGATGGAAGTCAAGTGCAGCTTGAGTTGGTATTAGTTGTTAATTAGTAAAAGTAAAGCAGAGCTTTATCGTCGCATGTAACTTCATTGTCACTAATATACTAGGAAAAAAAACAAGAAAAATTAAATCCCGTGGACAAACCTCATCACAGTCACAACAAATAGCAGAACTGATTACACTGGATAGAGAAAGATCACATTTGTAGGGGTGCAGACTTCTAAAGTAGTAAAAAATGGACGCATTCAAGTAAAGTACAAGTATAATCTACTGTATATAGTAAAATATGTACACAGATTAGCCACAACATTAAAACCATCCGTCTAATATTGCGTAGGTTTCCATTTTGCTACCAAAACAGTTTCAGCCTGCCAGATACCTCTGGGGTGTCCTCTGATGTTTGGCCCCCGGATGTGGGCA